TTTTCCAAAAACAACCTGACTGACCCTAACCTGCGCGGCTTACAAAGGACAAATCCCTCCAGGTCACCAAACAATGCAGCCAGCTACTCAGACGCTTCCTGCTTCCCGAATTGGCTCGGCCTGACAACTGCAAATTCAATCAGGTCAAGAAAAACCCTCGCCAGCCCCACAAAGAACTCGCCAGCACCGAATCCTTGGGTGGCGCCCGTGAAAGGGACCCATCGTGGGCTGGCAGGGTTTCCATACTTCTTCGCAAAGCATCTCAGAGCCAGAAACGAGAGTCACGAGTTTGAGATTCTAGCCTGACCTCCCGGCTGCAACGGTTTCATTTATTTGTTCCGACACGACACACAGACCCGGACTGCTTATTTGAACGAGACGACGGCTGCAATGTCACGACTCAGCGGGCACAACACCTACTGGCACGGTATATTTCCCTGTTGAGTGTTAAAGGCTCCCACAAATAACCGGCCCCCGACGTGATTGGAACAAATGACGAGGAGCGTCCGAGAGGTGATGGCCGACGCCACCTAAGATGTGCCCAGTGGACGCCGCTTTGAACAAAAGCGGTTTTTCCAACGACATAGGAAAATAGATCCTATTTCCCAAACACCCCTGGAAGCACTCCCGGTCAGCCTTTTCACAAGACCAACAGCTCTCGGTATAGGGGGTGCGTGCCCCCACTCCAAGGCGACAGAAAACACTTCTGCTTGGTCTGCCGAGTGGCCACCAGGTGAGCAGGCACTCAGCCCCAGCACCGCGAGGCTCGGGTGCTCCCACCTAGGAAAGGCGAAGGGGTGGGTGTCGGCCTCCCACCTCCCATCGGCCTCGCCCCCACCCAGGAGGGCACCGGCACGCGGGGGGGCGTCCCACAGTGATGCTGGTCACATAGTCCTTTCTCCCCAGAGCCCAGCTAGGGAAGGTAAATACGCAATCCACTGCTCTCAACCCCCGGGCAGAGAAAAGAGCAGCGCCAAGGCCGTTTCTGCAGCCTTGCTATGGGACGGGGGCGGGAGGAGAAAGGACGCTCTTCCCCCCTCTCCTCACGGAGGCAAACGCACTCCGGGTCTCATTCTTATGTACACCGGAGGCCACGGATGCGACCAGCAGATCCCAACGCTCGCAGACGGCCGCGCAGGGAGTCCGGAACAGGATCGGTCCCAGGGTAGACTCTGCAAGGGTTCAAGAAAGCGGATCCATTTTCTTCTCCTCCTTCAGCTCGGGGTCCCCTGGGAAGCGGGGTCTTTGCATTCCCCCACGCTGTCTCTTTGTTACCTAAAGACGTGCTCTTACCCAACGTGGAAGCGATTCGTTCGATGTGAGCCGTCTTCAAGGCCTCCACTTCCGTGCTCCTCACCTTAATCCTGCGGGGACAGAAACGCCCGTTATCTGCTACCAGCCAAGGCCGCGAAGGCATTTTCAAACGTGGTTTTCTTTAGATGACAAAAGAGTTACATTCATTTTCTTCCTTCTCGACCTCGCGCTTAAACCAAAAGTCACGGCCAACTAGGAATTCGTGTGCCTGAGGTTAGAGGCAGTAAGGACCCTGGTGAATGTGGCTTTTTTGCTTTTTTCCCTTTTAAGACAGAAAAGGTTGGCTGGATTTAAGAGTAAGAATGAATTCAAATCGTGACTTTTATGAGGCAAATCCTACTTTCAACTACACAAACGACTCCTTTGTTAGGTTCTCAGAGTAGAAGGTAATGTCACTAAAAGCTGTTTACAGCCCAGCAGGTGTGTTTTAGTTTAAAAGGATGCGCTGTCCTTTTAAACTCGAGTATTCAATTACCTTCCCAGCCGCAGGGAAAGCGTGAGCTGGGGACCAAGTGAGCTTAGGAGGCGGCTCTGAAGAGGGACGGGGACCTGGGGAAGCTGTAACCAGAGCGGACGAGGTTTTATTCTCTCTGAATGGGGAATTCTCCCGTTAGACCCAGCAATACCACAATCCTACGTGATGTGGGCATTTTAATCATTCTGGCCGATATTTTGTTCTTCGGTCACCGGATAACAAAGGAGAGTAATGCTGCCCCGTAGCCGAGCATTTGCCGTCTGAATGCTACATAATAGCTTCTTACTGGACGGACAGGCTGAAACAGCAAACACGTCAAAACTGACAGGGGCCCGTCCCACAAGTTTCTGAGAAAAACACACGCAAATCTGCGGGAAGGAACTATCCACACGCGAACCCCAACAAGCGCTTCCCCTGCGTGTTATTTATGCTTGTTGTTTTTGTACCGCGCTCTCTCACACAGAGCCCTTCGTATAAATGTTCATTTCCAGACAGACGTAAAAAAAAAAAAAAAAGAAAAAAATCAGCGTTTGCCTCTTAAGGGTATTATGAACACAGGTCAGTTACAGCAACTAAAGAGTTAACAAGCGCTTAAGAGTTTACTTCACTTTTTGGCAGGGGGACAGTAAAAGAAATCCCATTCAGAAAAAAAGATAACATTAAAAAAAAAAAAAAGACCCCACAACACTTAACTTTTCATCTAGGGAGAGTATTTGAACACTTAGAAAAAATTCCTTTTTCCTCTTAGTTTTTGTTGCCACCTCCGTTCTGGCCAAAACCTGTATTAAAAAAATAAAGCAGAAAACAAAACAAAACAAAACCAAAAACACAAAATCCTTGTTACTAAGACACAACAAACAGTTGACGCAAAGCAGCTCTGGGCAGCGCAGCCGCGGCCGGTGACTCTTAAAATATCCCACCCCCAGACCTCAGCAACCTCCTGTCTAATCCTGCCCTTCTACAGATGGGGAAACCGAGGCCCTCGGGGTCAGGGGCTGACCCAGGCGGGGAGCAGGGTCCCGGCCTGGCAGTGCAGCACTCTCCCTGTTGCGTTGCTAGAAAGTGTCCCCGAGGCACTCCCATTATTTACTACCACAAGGCTCCCTTCCAGATATTTCCTGGAATTACATACTGCCTCACCGCCCTTTTTAAAGCAGAGTCTGTTAATTTTCCTAAGTGTAGAAAAAAGGACACTTCTGGAAGCGTAACCTTGTAAGCAGCAGACCAGAAAGAACCCCATTAACCGGGGAATGCGTGAGGTTCGGTGCCAAGAGATCCGGGCGCCAACTGCTCGGGCTCAATTATGTCACCGAAAGAACTCCTAGCCTCCTCCCGATGAAGATTTTACTTGTCACCCAAAAGTCACTTCTAACTCCTGAAATTACGCAACAACGGCTGTCACCTTTGCAGGCCATAATCGCTTTTCCCATCTGCAGAGGACATACTTGGCGTCGGTCATGACTTAGACTCATGTGGCAGGTGGTAGTGATTTGGCACAAAGTACTTGAAGGTCGGACTCGATGTGCCCCTGCAACAAGATGCGCACAGTGGTTCATAAAAGCGATAGCTGGCCACCTTAGCACAGACGGGACCCTCAAGGGCACGGGTCACTGGGGCTTCGCCTCGAGTTAAGAGGGTCACTCCTGTAACCTCGCGCGGAGATGCTCAGCGTCAAGAAGAAACGGCTGGCCTGGGTACCCGGGGAGGCGCCCGCCCTTCTCTCGGAAATCAAATGCAGCCGCCTCCCCCCCCCAGGGTCTGTCTGGCTCCCGCCTAAGAGGCTCCCGAGCAACTCTTCTGCGTGCCTGCCTCCCACCTTCGCACGGGAAGCGATTTAAACAAAGCTTACAACCCTCCCCCGTTTGGGGAGTGAACAGTTGCCCCCAGTTGCAAAAAAAATAAAATGGGAGGAAACGGCCGCTCTTTTCGCCTGCTCTGGCCCTGGAAGGACGGGGACAGCTGCGGGCCGCTCGTCACCGCAGGGGACACACAGGCCTGGCTACGCACGGAGAGCAGAGGGGGGGCTCGTTCGCGCACAGAGGGGCGCAGGCGGCGGGCGAAGGCGGTTGCAGACGGGGACCCGGGGAGGGACGGGGGCGCACGCAGCCGACGAGGCGCCGCGGTGGACAGAGAAAGGGGCGAAAGCGGCGGCCCCCTCCCCCCGCGCTCAACGCCCCGGGGAGGGCCTCCTTTGGGGGTTCGCTCCTCCCCGCCCAGGCCCGGCCCGGCCGCCTCAGCCCCCGCCCGCCAACCGCGGGCCGCGGGCCTCACCGGGCGGCCGGCCTCCCCAGCGCGGTGGCCCC